TTTAGCTAGCAAATGAGTGTTGCATTATATGACTCATCCAATTACACTAGTTTCCTCTAGATGTGGATGGCGCCAATGGTCTGCATTGGATGGAGCACATGATGGGAAATAAATACTTATAAACTTTAAACAAGAGTAACGAGTAACGTTAGGTTTAAAAATGTAAGGAATAGAAAGTACAGATACTAGTGTGAAAATGTAATGAGTAGAAGTCCGAAGTAGGAAGAAAAAGAAGTAATGGAGTTAAGTATAGATACCTAAAAAGTCTACTTAAGTACAGAAACCAAGTATTTGTACTTATTTACTTGACACCTCTGGTCCTCACTACGATGGAAGAACGAGTATGGGTGTGTGTGTGTGTACTTCTGTATTTGGTTTCATTGTTACACAGCCTTGATATAATATCTGTTATAAAATGTTAAGAACACAGGAAGAATAGCTACTGCTTTGACTCAGTAGCTAATGGGGAAATAAATAAACAATAAACAAACTTGCATTTAAATAAAACATAATTATTGTAATATAATACAAGAATTCTCCAATTCACACTAACAAACCTTTGTCTGGAAATAGACATATAAGGTTGGGTTCCCAGCAAAATAAACGTATATTTTGTAAGGTGGTGCAGATGTGGACCTATGGCACGTGAAGACAGCAGCGATTATTCATGTTGACAGCTGCAGGAGTTGATAGGGTGACGTATTCCCACTTGCGAAACTTGAAAAAAACTTTCTCACAGTTCCAAACTTTGTAAAGTTAACAATAAACACTTAATATAAAAACCCAAGTGCTAGCCGACTAACATAATAAACGCTGAGAAAAGCTCGTTTCGCTCTGAGAGCGTCGATTAATCGGCGGTTATGTATGAGTTCCGGGTTTTATTTTGAAAAGCAGATCCGGAAGTAGTATCTTTACATCCAGCTTAGCGGTTTTTGTCCTAAAAGCAGGGCGAAGGAGTGATTTGCTTTATCTGCTTTTCCTTTTTTTTTTTTTTTTTTTTTTCTGTCGCAGTGTCTTTGAAACGGTTGTTTTTCTTCACCGGTAAATGAGTAAAAGTATCCGTTCCCGCGTCTTCATGAGTTGCTTTTGTTTGGAGGAAGTTTGCTGTAACTTTTCCTTTGCTCTGATTCCCACCGATGGACCGACGGGATTTTATCTTTATCATTTTTTGGGAAGAAGCACAAGTAGACCACATGGATTATAATGACCGTTATTAGCCAAAATGGTAAGCCATTAGATTTACACAGAAATAAAATACTCATATGTGAATATATATTTAAGCTTTTTTTTTTTATACCAAAGTTAATAACCGTTTGACAAGTTTTGCTAAATTAAAGTTACCTCGATGCTAACTGTCATAAACGAGCTCTATATGGGGAAATTAAAGCGTTATTAGCTCCTTATTTTGGCTAATTTTACAAAAGTGATTTAATACTTTTAATATGAACATTTTTAACAAATTTAAGTTGCCTACTTTTTAAAAAATCTTCAGGATTTATTTCATACTGCGAGTTTAAATTAGCGCCATGATTCAAAAGCTAACTCTGCTATAAAAGCTTTTTTTTTAGTTAATATATTTCCTGAATGTATATCTAAAGTATCTGTAAGTTTAACCTTAAAGGTTTAAATCTTTTTAATGCTATGTGATAAAGTGACCATCTTTAGAGGAATCCTCTAGCTGAACCTAAAGCTGTATTAGTGTTTTCTGTTTGATCAGTGATTTAAAGACTCTTTATCTTAGCTCAGTCTGTTTCAAACCAGCAGTTTTCCTTTATTACAGCATTAACTGTCACCGTTGATGATAAGCTTTTGGTTTCTTACAACACCTCACCTACAGAACATGTCCTGTCATGCTGCCCATCTTTAGGAGGGCGTGTTGGGCTTGTTTCTGAAGGTACAATTAGCTTTAATTTACTTACCCAGTGATGAAGGGGTGCTTTCAACCTCTATGATATCTGGTATGAAGGTTAAAAAAAAGCTGCAGAATATTTTAGGTCTTTTTAAAGAGGTGTCACACAAAGGGGGCCCAGATTTCCCTCACCTTTGGCTCCAGACTTACAGAGACAGTTAATGTCTACTTTTCCCTGACTTACAGGAAGACCAAATACATTAAAACACAATAACAGGAGCATTCCAAAACAAAGAAATTTGTTTTCCAAGTTTCAAGACGTTTCGCTTCCCATCCAGGAAGCTTTTTCATTTCAAAATGTCAGGAATAGCGTTGAGTTGGAGGTTTTATACAATAGCCCAATGATGCTACAGTATATAAGCATCAAACTCAGCATTATTCCTACCGTTTTGAATTGAACAAGCTTCCTGGATGGGAAGCGAAGCATCTTCAAACTTAGGAACAAAGTCCAGTGGATTGATTTTAATTTTCCTTTTTTTGGAATGCCTATAACCTGGATGACTGGGAAGCTTCACCATCACAATAACAAGAGCACACTTTTTTAAATAAACAGTTATTAAATTACAGTATACATGCTACATATGATGTTTGTTAAGCAGCAAACTGCAGGCTAGGAGCTGAAGCAGTGTGTTTAATTAACGATCTTTTGTCATCATATAAAACTTGTTTTATATGAACACATACTTACTACATGCTGTGTAGTAAGTATGGGTTCATAAGTTGCAGTTTTATGGCTGATTTAAAGGCCTGACATGCATTTTTCATTAGCTGTCCTTCCATTTTCCACCTTGCTTATCCCAAGGGGTGCTGGTGCCTAGCTGTCTACGGGCGAGAGGCGGGTTACACCCTGGACAGGTCGCCAGTCCATCGTAGGAAAACACAGAGACAAACAGGACCTAAACCCTAAGAAGAAGCCATTAGAGAAGCCAATGAACCTAACAGTCATGTTTTTGGACTGTGGGAGGAAGCCGGAGTACCCAGAGAGAACCCATGCATTCTCAGAGAGAACATGCAAACTCCATGCAGAAAGTTCCCGGGCCAGGAATCAAACCCAGAACCTTCCTTGTTGCAAGGCAGCAGTGCCACCCACTGTTCCACTGAGCAATGGGTAGTGGGTCGTTAATTGTCAAATTGTAAATAAGAATTGAATTAGCTAAATGGAAACACAGCAATTTTGAAAAAAAACTTTTTTCAATAAAAAGTTTTTACGCTTCAGTGAGGGTTTTTTTCCACCTCATATCAAAATTCGTATATTTCGCAAAACTGCAATGGAAACAACTTTCATTGTGTTTGCTACGTCATGAAAACATCGTAATTCAATTAGCATTTTCCTAATTAGCAGAATATCAACATAGTTTTACGCACGTTTGTAATGGAAATACTGGTGCTGTCTTCTGTTTTAAGATCGCAAGAGATCTTCAATATTTCAATGTTATCTTTAAAGAATATAATCAATACCGGTGAAACAATAAAAACTTCTCCAGCAACTGCAGTCAAATATGAATCAAAGTTTAGCGCATTCAAAGTCGCTGATTTTCAGACCATTGCAGAGGTATATAGGATTGGTTTCATATCTAAATATCAGTTCATCCTTATCTCCCAGAATTAAGGAAATTAAGCCTTATTGGTCAGCTGATGAATCGGACAGATATTGTCCGAATCGAAATAAGCACTTGAAAAGTTTAGAAAAGCGGTAGGTATTACTGTATATTATTATTTCCCTTATGAATAAAATTATATAATGCATTTTAGTTTTTAAACATTTTGTTCAAACATAAAATTGCATTTAATTTACTTGATTTATGTTGTCTTGATTAAGGATATCATACAGTGTGGACCAACCCATGCATATTTGCAACAATTTCTACCAGCTATCATACAGCTGGTTTATTTCTTAGTTTTTCAGCGATTGGCACTACATGATGTGTGAACGTAAACAGTCCAAACATAGCCGAAATCAATGGTCACAAATCACTCTACACCGTAATTACAGACAGGCTGGGATCCTTTTTCCTGCTGCTCAGGAAACAAAACTTCTGCGTTCCTGTTTAATACAAACAAGTGTTACAAAAAAAGAAAAGAAGTATGTCAGTTTGAGAGATGCATTGTCATCTCCAGGTCTGGAGTTTTTAGGGCAGCATTCCAGTGCAGACACATGCATTTAATTTAGGTCAAACTGAACAAAAGCATCATTTTTTTCCCAACCATTTTTTGCTGTCTCTCCCGACCCTCCTCTCTTCCTAATGTGTAGGAATGCAGCTCATAGAGTTATGATGATGTTGAGCGTTGCTGTGGAATTTTACCATGTGTCTGTCTTTTCCAGATCCTCTCAGCTCGCTAATGTGCAACGTGTCCTAATAGTTTGGTTCCAGTGAGAGGGGCCGCTGTGCATAAGCATGCAGCGGTTGCGTTGATGTTGACTCAGAATATGAGTCATAGCGGATCCAGATCTGAACTGCTTCACGTCCAAGAACATTTGTTATCGCTTTATTTACTACAGATAGATGAGGCAGTTCATTCCATCCTATTTATTTATGTAGTGGTTGAACCTCCTATATTCCATCGTCCTTCTTACATCCGAAGGTAGATTATCGGTTGTCTCTGATTCTTTATGTTCGCTTTGGGATTTATCTAGATTTTTATCGGTTAAAACTCCACATTTGTTTCTAGGGGTTCAGATTAGAGTGTGTAACACCGTGACCGAGGTTGTAAATTAACATGCGCATAAAATACCAACAGTGGTAGTTGTAAATCAAGTTTGGTCCCCCTGTGAAATAAAACTGGCTGAGACATGCATGTCCCAGCATGTGTGGAAAAGGAATTTGGATATGACAAAACCAAATCCGCGTCACTTCACAGAGACGAGAAAATAGAAGTGCACTTACAGATCTGGTGAACAAGAGAAAACATGAAACAAGTGGTTTTTTTTTACTTCAAATCTTTGGTATGGCAGTATTTTATTTGGTAATGTCCTTATTTTTTTGTGGGGTGAGCTTATGGTAGAAATGTAAAGCTGGAATTTTGTTGCTGATGTTAATGTTTTCTGTAAAGCTGTGTTTTAATGGTGACAATTTATTTAATATAAGTTACAGCGACAAGATTGAGTAAAACAGCGTTTTAATAACATTTTAAGACAAAGCAAATTTTTCTTTTAAACAGCCTTTTCATTATTTTTGCTTTTATTAGTGTTTTTCTGTGTTTTAATACAGAATGTAAAACATAAATCATTACCTTAAAGTCGTAGGGACGTCATATTTAAATTGAAATAATTCTAGCTTAAATATGTATATAAATGTACTCTTTATCAGACCATATTGTCCCAGAAACTAGAAAATTTGTATAAAAAAAAAAAATCCTGTTCTAAAATCTGTGGGGGTTCTTTTTGTTATCTTATGCAGGCTAGTTGATTTTATGTCAGCTTGTACACCTAAATTCAGCCAATCATATATTACATTAGGTCCCAGTGTTCAGGGATGGACGTCTGTGTCTTCGGCAGGCGTAGAGCTAACAGAACTGGCAGCGTTGCGAGGCAAGGGCTCAAACATGTACTGCTGTAAGCCTTCTACACCAAACCAAGCTTCTGCCGCCCTGGCGTCCTGTTCCACAACAACTTTGTCCCCGCTTTCGTCCTCTAAATAAATAATCTATGATGGAGGAGACTCATCCACGACCTCTGACATAAAACTCTCCTCTTGCATGTTTCCTCTGTCCATAGCGTTCCTTGACAGTGTAGTTTTTAAGTCACCAATTTAGTGATACTTGGTCCCAATGGAATTTCCCATTGGGAACCTACTAGCACTAAGAGGTTTCTGAGGCACCGGCTACAACCAAACTTGCTTGCGAACCTTCCGCCTCAACAACAACCCTGCTCCCTTGATAAACAACCAATCACATTCACTTTATCCACTTGTGTAAAGTCGGGCACCACTTGGGAAATTTCGGAAATGCAACGGTTGGAACAGCCGCTTCCCTACAAATGTAACTAATAGATCTTTTTTTTTAATTCTGCAATGCTTCCAAATCATGTTTCATTAAACAAACTTGTTGTTATCTGCTCAAAGTCTCGCTCTCTCCCACCCTCTTGTAGCTTCCATGAACCCATGTTGTAGAGATTGTTTAAAAGAGCTTCTTGCAGCTCACTGTTTCCTCTGAATTCAATTTTAAACACCTCATAGATGCAAACTCTTATGAAGGAGTATTAGGGCCAGGCTAGAGATTTTCTTTCATCTATTTCGAGAATAAAGTTGTAAAATAACGAGAGTAAAGTCGTAATATTATGAAAAAAAAGTCAGAACGAGAACAGTTATAAAATGATGAGAATAAAGTTGTAACATTATGAGAATAAAGTAATAAAATTATGAGAATAAAGTCGTAAAATTACGAGAAACAAATTGTATTTTATGACAACTCTTACAAGAAGCACTTTCTTCACTAAAATGAGGAATGTGGAGCATTATGTGAAGTTATAATTTGGCTCTGGTTTGAAAAATAAGGAGATCTTTTAGAACGCCAGCATCAAATTGGGCAGAATGTCAAAGTGGACTCAGGTTGACCGTGAGATGCTGGTCAGAGCTCGAACCTTACTTTCTGAAACGGGTTTTAAGATTACTTCATTCTCGTAATATTGCAACTTTATACTCGTATTCTTACGGATTTGTTCTCAAAATAAAGAATAAAAAATAATCTCTAGCGTGGCCCTAATACTCTGTTATAGAACAGAGTATTAGAAGTCCTAGAAGTATCCTAGTATAGCAGCAAAGAAGCTTGGCTTACTGATCAAAAACACATTTTTAAGTAACCAGTCTGTCACTGATAAAAGCTGGTTGAGCTGAAAGTTGTTGAGCTCGACGCTGATGCTTGAGAATTCTGGTGCATCCCAGATAGGGATCAGAAAAGCTCAGGATTTGCTTTAATAACACATACACAAATAAGTGAGAAAGGAGCAATGTTTGATGCCTTAAACTTGAAGTTTTTTTAATTGTTTACAAACCTAATGTTCTCCTTCAGCTTTACTTCCAAGAAGCTCGGTTGGAAATTCCTGATTGTGGAATCTTTTTGAACATTATCTCCCTGACTCAGATTGGAGCCCATACTTTCCAGTCCTTTGAACAGCGGCTTTGTTCAGCTGCAGGACTTTGTTGCATCACTGGCATTTCATATTTAGCCAGCAGTGAGGTTTTCGATGACAGCGGCGCAGAATTCCCCTCAGGCTGATGGAGGGTTTGGACAGCTCAGGCCACAAACCAGCTGCAGAAAGTTCTTCTAATCTTGCTCCTTGTCGCCATCTTTCTTTTTTAGATGTATTTTTTTGCAGCTGGTTCCCTTAAATCCTGGTTTTAACTTTTAAATCCATGTGACCCTGAAATGTGATGTGTGGGTTTACGTTTCTAAAGCACTGAGTAATTTTTCTTTCTTATTTTTTAGATTGTTTACATAATGAAGCAGGAAGATGTGACGTTTGGCTGATACCTGAAGACACCTAAAGGCTATAAATCTATTCGTTATTAATGTCTGGACAAAACAACACCTGATCAAGTGGATCTTCCCCTCCCTGTTTGTTAAAAAGCCCTTCATGTGTTCACTAATGGTCAACTGGGGGTGAGCTGACTTTCTCCCTCCCAACATGCTGGCTCTGAGAGTGGAGCAGGCCAGGCGGGAGCTGGCTGAAGCTGATCACCTGCCAAAAGAGGCCACCCCTGTTCGGCAGGGCTGGCAGTCAGGGAGGCCGGTCTTGCACAATTGTATAAACATTAAGGAGAAGATCTCCCAGTGGGAGATTCGGAGTCAGCAGAGCGGCAGCCAGGACCCTGGAGTCAGAGCACATCCACCCATCATATCCAGAACCCTGTCAGGTGACCTGCTGGGCTATGGCTGTTCTAACAAAAGCTTGGGAGTCGGGATTCAGGCTAAAGACAGCCGCTCAAGAGCAAAGAGTACTGAACTGGATTTTAGGGAATCTCCGTCGCAGGTTGGGCACAGTGTTGCCGGTCGAAAGTCTGAACCATTGAGGAACTTTTCCGCTCCGTTTTCAGCCACATCCCCTGGAAAAAACATAACACAACATTTAGCATCTTCTAAATTAGAAGTGGACACCATTTCTTCAGCCGATCCGGTCTTCTCAACCATCACAGATCCCAAAGATGATCGTATTCCAGACGTCTTAATAGTCTCCAAGCCTCTACCTCCATCAGCCGGCGATCAGGAAGACAACATGCCTGCTGGAAACTTCTACACTTCTCGGGGGTTCTGGCGGAAGCTGGAAGGGGACAGACTGCTCTGGGAGAGCGGCAGGAGCAGTGTAGGTGAAACCCCGCCCCCTCCCAAACCTCAGCGGACATTCCAGTATCGTGGAACCACCATCAACAACAACAAGATGAACCATGCGGTGCAGTGGGACGGCAGATCCTCTCATAACGACAACCGCTCTACAGTGAGGAGCAGGAGGGTCGTAAAGCCGCCGAACTTCCCACCCCCGCCATGTCCTGTTATACAGATCGAAGGGCTATCAAGGCATAAAAAGAGCAGGTAAGGCCAAAAAGCTCATTACAGGTAATGGTTAGTTACTTTAAAAAATTGTTTTATTTATAACTTAATAAGAAGAAAGCTTAACCAGGCAGCATACTGGTTTTACTATTTAAGTAATACAATCGTTTCCACTATATAATCATAAAAGGCATTTAACTTATTATTGATTTTTCGTAGTTCATTTATTATTCATTATAAATAATTGCTCTCAAAAGATGGATTATTTTCACTATTCCTATTGTTAATCTGGATTCTAATTGTCCAGGTTTTCTATCACAAATACCTCCTAAAGAAAGGTTAAAAAGTGGTTAAAAAAGTATTCGACCTACATCCCTTTTAAAAATGTCTGACTTGCATAATAAATGTAGAAAAAGTTCCAGCTATAAAGTCTTTATTACCACTTAAGATCCTGTTAAAACCTACATAAACGCATCTCTGTTCAACCTCTTTTTGTGAGCACTTTGCTTTAATGTTTGACAACAAAAAGATTACAAGACATCATTAGTTTTCAGTTAGTTGTGCAGGTAGTGGGTTTGGACCACAGCATTTACTAAATCTCACTGGTTTCCCTATTTTCTACTGGGATTTGATATAATAACATATACAGCTCATGGTTCTAACTTCTGGGTCAAATTAAAGGTTGGATATGTTTCCATTTTGAGCCCCTGAGGCCATGTGCCTTAAGCTTGATAAGTTGTATAATTTCTGAGATGTATTTTAAATAAGAAAAGATGTAGTTCTTTATTTTGAGCTCTCATGTTGGCTGTGTTTGCTAAAATGTTACGACATCAGAGTATCCCCCACTTCTTTAGGACGGTTCTTTAGGACTGTTTAAAAGCAGACTAATAAGCTGTAATCAATTTGTCATCAACTGGATATCAGACATTTTTTTAAAATGTTAAAAACGCAGATTGTTGTGTTTAGTTAAAAACTGGGTTATTTCTTCAAACCAGGAAGTGTAGGGCCAGGTTAGGGATTTATTTTACATTTTGAGAATAAAGTCGGAACATTACGAGAATAAAGTTGTAATATTGCCGGAATAAAGTCGTAACATAACGAGAATAAAGTCATCATACAACAACCCGTTTCAGAAAGAAAGCTTTGAGCTCCGACCAGCATTTGAGGGTCAACCAGCACCACCAAACAGCAACCTTTATTCTCGTAATTTTATGACTAATCTCGTGACTTTTTTCTTGTAATGTTACGACTTTTTTTGCATAATTTTATGACTTTATTCTCATAATTTTACGACTTTATTCTCATAATTGTACAACTTTATTCTCATAATTTTATGACTTTATACTCGTAATTTTACGACTTTATTCTCGTAATTTTACAACTTTATTCTCAAAATAGAAGAAAAAAAAAAATCTCACGCCTGGCCCTAATACTCCGTTGTACAGAAGAGAGCATTTTACACAAAGCGTGATTTTTATTCCTCCTCCTCGATTGACGTCATCCATGGAAGGATGCTAACATTAGCCCGCCAAGCTATCGCCAGGATTTCCCCAATCAGAGACTCACCTAGACGCAGATGTTCATATGTACATTGCTGCTTGTGAAACTTTTAACTTAATGTGTAAAAACCATAACTCCATGATAAACACACCATGGCTTACTGCTGATGCTGCTAATGCTGCAGCCACATGAACACACAAACAAATGAATTTCATGTGCATACAGTAACCTAACAAGGAAAGTAAATAATAATTTTTTCTTTTTTTTCTGCAAATGATTCATTTTTTATTTAAAGCTATAGTGTGTAACTTTTAGCGACATCTAGCGGTCAGACTGCAGCAACATGAACATTTCCCCCCCCCACCGCTTCTCCCCCCCAACAGTACAGCGAGCGTAATGGGACAAAATGTCTTCAACGACGTCCGCATCACCTACCTTCTCAAGTGATGAGGTTTGTTTACATAGATAATTTTACAGATAGTATTTCATTAGTCTGTGTAGGGTATAGATTTCATGTAGACTTAAGATAATAAATATACCCGTTATTTTTTCTACATCGTTGTGACGTTTTGGCGATCTCGCAATCGCTAGTTTGTTGGCTCTGTGCTGCCGTAGCGCAAAGATGTCTGCCTCCATGGCTGCGAGACCCGCTCCTATGTAATTATAAATAACGAATTCTAAGGCAACGCAAATATTAAGGTTAAGAGGCTGAGCTCGTAGATGATGATAAATAACATTGTTATGTATAATATATTACATTTCTGACTGTATATCCCTGTAATTATTACACACTGTAGCTTTAAAGACAATTTCAGAAGGATTTTTTTATGTAAAATACCCGATTATGGCTCCGTTAAGAAGGTAACAAAATTGTAACTTGCTAACCTTAAGCTGCTAAAGACTGAAAACTGTTGTCTACTTTGAAGCTTCTTGTATTTAAACTGAATCTTGGTTCTTTAAAAGGACGGTTTCAGATTAATCCAACTGTTTTTTTATATTGGCGAAAAGAAAAATAATTTATAGGTTTTTTTCAAAGAAATTGCTAAAATCTTGATAGTTTTTTAATTTTTATTTTGTATCATCGTATTGTTCCAGCCCGAAACAAGCATGGCGTTAGTGTTATTCATGGTTCACTGAGCATATGCTGTTATTAAATGCATGCTTCCTTTTTTTGTGGCTGCAGGGCTGTTTGGGAGAGGTTGTATTGTCAGATTTTAATTACTGTCTGGGGTCAAAATCTGCTTGGTAGTTCTCTTTTCTTTTGTCTAGATGTGGCCTCATTCGTCAGCACTAGTGGGTCCAGATCATTATCTTTATTCACATGAACAGATCACAAAAGGCCCCGCAGAACTACATTAGCTATGTAGTTAATAAAGATGTATATTTATATCCATCTTCTTTACTGTAAAGCACCAGTAGAACATTAGCAAAGATACATTAAAAAGGATAAAATTAAGTATTCTCCTTTTTCTTTCCTTAAACTAGTAATGAACTCCATTTTCATGGTTGATACAAGCTTACTGCTTCAAATGAAGCCAGTATCTCCTTCCATTTTTGTGCATCAGAAAACGCATCCACCAGGAGACAATATTGCATCACATTTAGGCAAAATTTAGAAATAGTTTCTGCAATTAACCAAACTATCACCACACTGCGTTACAGAAGCATGTAAAATAAGAGATTGGGACATTTTTCTTTGTTAACCTCAATGCTCTGTCATTTTATGCCTTGAATATTAAACGTTGTCTCTCACGTTTTGCATCACAAAGGAACTTTTTCTTGGAGGCCTGAAATTATAGAAACACACCGGTCAGGGTTTTACTGATTCAGATTAATGTCAGCATCTGACCGTTTCCTTTTCTTTCTCTCTTTCTGTCTTGAGAATTTTAACACAAAAGAAAAACTTTATGTTGCAGAAGATTTTACTTTTTAGTGCATGTCTGTAACCTTTATAACAATTTTATTAAACTTAGAAAACTGTTAAAAGTTGCTTAGATAAAAAGAAATGTAACATCTTGAATTCAATTTGTAAAACAAAAAAGTGATTTATTTTTTTCTTACTATATTACCTTCCAATAACTGATCGAATTCAATCATGTGAAATTTGGGATATTGGTTTGTGGTTTTTACATATATAAAGTACAGGCCAAAAGTTTGGACACTCGTTTTCATTCATTCCCTTTTCTTTATTTTCATGACTATGAATACTGAAGATTCACACTGAAGGCATCAAAAATATCAAAAAACACATGTGGAATTATATACTTAACAAAAAAGTGTGAAACAATTTAAAATATGTCTTATATTCGAGGTTCTTCAAAGTAGCCACCTATTGCATTGATTACTTCTTTACACACTCTTAGCATTCTCTTGATGAACTTCCAGAGGTAATTACCTGAAATGGTCTTCTAACAGTCATGAAGGAGTTTCCCGCACTTGCTGGCCCTTTTGCCTTCACTCTGTGGTCCAGCTCACCCCAAACCATCTCCATTGGGGTCAGGTCATCTGACGCAGCACCCTATCACTATTCCTCTTGGACAAATAGCCCTTACACAGCCTGGAGGTGTGTTTGGGGTCATTGTCCTGTAGAAAAATAAATGAAGGTCCAACTAAACGGCAAAATCAGATGGAATAGCATGCCGCTGCAAGATGCTATGGTAGCCATGCTCAGTATGCCCTCAATTTGAACAAATCTCCAACAGTGTCATCAGCAAAGCACCCGCACACCATCACACCTCCTCCTCCATGCTTCATGGTGGGAACCCGGCATGTAGAGTCCATCTTTTCCCCTTTTCTGCGTCGCACAAAGACAAGATGGTTGGAACCAAAGATCTCAAATTTGGACTCATCAGAACAAAGCACTTTTTTCCCACTGGTCTAAGTCTCTTCTGCTTGTTGCCTGTCCTTAGCAGTGGTTCCCTAGCAGCTATTTTACCATGAAGGCCTAATTCACACAGTCTCCTCTTAACACATGTTCTAGAGATGTGTTTGCTGCTAGAACTCTGTTTGGCATTGACCTGGTCTCTAATCTTAACTGCTGTTAACCCGCGATATCTGAGGCTCGTGACTCCGATGAACTTATCCTCCGCAGCAGAGGTGACTTTTGGTCTTCCTTTCCTCGGGTGGTCCTCATATGAGCCAGTTTCTTTGTAGCGCTTGATGGTTTTTGCGACTGCGCTTGGGGACACTTTTAAAATTTATACTAGGGATGCACGATATAGGGATTTTGGCCGATATCCGATATGCCGATATTTTAAAACTCATGTAGCCGATAACGGATACCGATGTTAAAGCTGGACAAAAATAAAAAAAAATTGAAAATAGCAGTTTTGTTATCCATTTCTGACACAAATAATATACGGTACTATATATATTTTCATATGCTGATATCAAAT